CTAAAACCAATGGACACTATTCTGTACTCCTACTTCTGGACCTTTCAGCTTCCTTTGGTGCGTTTAACAACCCCCTCCTCTTCAAAACAAATTTACTCCTTTGGTCTCCATGACTGTACTCTTCATTGGTTCTCATTCTACCTATCCCACTGCACCTTCAGTGTCATTTACAATTCTACTTCCTCCTCCTTTTTCCATCGGAGTCCCCACGGTTCTGTTCTTAGACCTCTCCTATTCTCAATCTACACCTCCTCCCTATCAGCTGATAGCCTCCCATGGCTTTCATATAATTTCTACGCTGATGACACCCAAATCTATCTCTCTACCTCTCAGCTCACAACATCAGCATCCTCATGCATCAATAATTAGTCTGAATGCCATACCACTTCAAACCCAATCTATTCAAAACCAAGTTCATAAAATGTCCTCCCTGTCTGCCCCTTCCCTTGACTTCTCTGTCAAGATCAATGGTGCAACTGTCAACCCGTCACCACATGCCAGGGTGCTAGGTGTAATCCTGGATTCTGAAGTCTCCTTTCTGCCCCCACATCCAATCACTGTCTAAAGCTTGCCACCTCAACTTCTACAACATCTCCAAAATACACCTCTTCCTAACCAATGACACCAAAGGCTTCTAATTCACTCCCTGGTTAACACTTGCCTCAACTACTGCAACCCTCTCCTCATTGAATTACCTATAGGGCTGGTTCACAGCATAGAAACGCAGTCCAGAAGCGTTCTGGAGGTGTTTCCACATGTGCATTTTTGGCGCCTTCTGGTGTATCTTTGATGCGTTTTTGGCATGTTCCAATGAGTTTTTGATGTGTTCCGGTTTATTTTTCCCCTCTCCTTTTCTGCAAGTTAAATAGGGGCATGTGCATTGTTGGTGCACTCCAGTGCCCTTTTTATGCTTTTGGATGTTGTATTGCTTTCCAGTACAGTTCTGTACAGAAAAATGCAGCCTGTTCTACTTTTTTTTCTGCAAGTGGAATGCACTGGAACTGCACTGATTTGAACTATCACATTGACAACCATATAACCTACTTTCTGTGCACTTTGAATGCAGAAACAAAGCACACTAAAATGCATCTAGTGTGAACTGGCCCTTACATAGGCTATCGCCCCCTTCAGTCCATCATGAATGCTGCTGCCAGACTCATCCCCCTTACCAACCATTCAGTGTCTAGTATCCTTCCTTGCCAATCCCCTTATTGGCTTCCGCTCATCCAACAAATTAAATTCAAAATACTAACAATAACCTACAAATCCATCCATAACTCTGCCTCTAGCTACATCACTAACCTAGTCTCAAAATATCAACCAAATAGTTCTCTTTGTTCCTCTCAAGACAAGGACTTCTCTTGAGCATCTCCCATCCTATGGAACTCCCAGCCCTATCTGCCCAAATATCTCCTACTCTGTCCACCTTTAGGCGATCCCTGAAAACCCTTCTCTTCAGAGAAGCCTATGCTACCTCAACCTAACAACTGTATTTTCACTTTCTTCATCCGCTCATTCTCCACAGTTATCGACTTTTATATCACTTGACACTCCCTTGTAGATTGTAAGCTCTAATGAGCAGGGCCCTCTGATTCCTCCTGTATTGAATTGTATTGGAACTATACTGTCTGCCCTCATGTTGTAAAGCACTGCACAAGCTGTTGGCACTATATAAATCCTATATAATAATAATAATAATAATGCTTCACATGGAAAAATTCCTGCTGCCCTGAGCAGGACTACATATTACAATATTTACTTGACTAAAAAAAATGAGTAGTAATTTATTTATTTTTTAGTTCTGAACATAATAAGTTAAATAAAATATGTACAAAAACAGTACATTCTTTTTACATAACCAATAGCTGCATGCCAAATACAAGAGTGAGGAAGCATGGTAAGGGCTTGTGGTTTTGGGCTTGTTTTTGACATCAGTTTTAGATCTTCTTAGATAATTCAGAATTCATTGACAGGTATGTTTGACCTACAGTTTTCCTCCTTCTGACCTGCAATCAAGGAAGGGAGAAAACAAGCGCCATCTAGGTGCAGTATTAAAATAACCATTTAATGATCAAAGACAATAGCACTCACAAAGGAGGAATGGGTCAAGGCATGTATGGCAATAGGAGTTGTCATCAGTGTTGGTCTCAGGCCGCAGTGGATGGAGGCTGTGAACTGGCTTGCAGGATGTTCTGGAGGCTCCCAGGGCTTCTTGGTCGACGTGGAATGCAGCACAATAGGCGTAAGTGATGTCAACAACCGGAACTGATGAACAAAGATGGCGACGCGTTGCGGAGCATGCGATCCTTCTTCAGGCCTTCTAGATGGCCTGGACAAACAAAGATGGCAATGCATTGCGGAGCATGCACTCCTTCTTCAGGCCTTCTAGTAAGCCTGAAGAAGGAGCGCCTGTTCAGCAACGTGTCACTATTTTTGATGGTCAGCTCCGGTTGTTGACATCACTTTCGCCCATCATGCTGCATTCCATGCCGACCAGGAAGCCCTGGGAGCCTTCAGAACATATTGCAAGCTGGTTCACAGCCTCCATCCACTGCGGTCCAGAACTGACACTGAAGATAACTCCAATTGCCATACATGCCTTGACCCATTCCTCCTTTGTGAGTGCTATTGTGTTTGATCATTAAATGGTTATTTTAATACTACACCTAGATGGCGCTTGTTTTTCTCCCTTCCTTGATCTATTCACAGAGTGATCTCCTGCTCTTATTACAAGCTGCCTCCTAGTGGACGCATAGAGACCTGGACAGGTCTTTGGACTTCCTCTTTTTAGATGTATTCCCTTATTATTGTTGCCTAGTAGTGCTCAATTTGTCTGTTTTTTTATGACCTGCAATCAGCTGCTCTTGCATTCCCATAGACTTGTCTGGGGAGTGAAGCGGTTCTGACACAAACAAAAGCCTATCAACACACACCCTTAATGAGCACCATAGAAATACACAGGCTATACAGATAATTTACACTTCTGTACCACACTGAAGATATCTGTCAAAGGGAAATTATATTTCTTTTTTGTATACTTGAGTCTTGCACCATACTTAACATTATAGACTCACAAAACCATCAATAAATCCACTTACACAGAAGATTTGCAAAACTCCCCACTTTGTAAACAGTGCCATGCTTTTTTTTTTCAGCTCCGATACTGCCATCTGTGCAACCTTGATCTGTAAAAAAAAAAAAAAAAAAAATTATATTTTGAAAACATTTACTGCATATCACTTGTAGTTGAAATGCAAATTAGACAAGGGTAAGAATTTTAACTGCACTTAGGAGGCTTTTACTAGTGTATAAATTTCAGTCATGCTGTTGTAGATTTTGAAACACATGGCAGTGAATGTAGACAGCTGCACAGGGGGGGGGGGGGGGGGGGGGATGTTTCAGTTTATAATGAAGAATATTTCAGTACTGATTGCTCACAGGGATCAAAAATTCTGATCATTTATGCAATGAACAGTAAGTCTTGTGCTGAAGACACAATTCACTTCTTTTGTTACTAACCTTACAGTAACTTAATTAGGAACTTCCCATCTACAGCTTTGGAAGAAACTTTATCAAATTCCACTTTGCTGTCATAATAAAGTTACTCTCTCTTCCTATTGCCATATTCCATGTTAGCACATGAGCAATGCAGCCCAACCAATTGACACCTTTGCTGTTCCTCCTTCTCCCAGAAAGGAGGAGGGACAGCAAAAGGCTGATATCAAGTCAAATGTAACTACACTAATTTCTTTAAAAATACACTTGATTTTTTAAGTGAACAAAAAACAGAATGAAATTATGTTTTTTTTGTCTGCTTGGAGCTCAGCTTTAAAATAAAACCATTATGAGAAAATTACAAAATTGCTTTTGAAAATTCTAGCTGCATTGCAGTAATGCAGCAAAGCATAAGGAGTACTTCCTAGTGACAGACTTGTTCATTGCATGCAGAGATTTTGCATCACGATAAAGAATCTGGTTTGCAACCAAATACTGTCCAAAACCGTTCCCTACAGAGAAAAGGGAATGATGTATTTGTTTCCAGTGCCAAGGGCTGCATGACTACACAGACCAAACTGGGGAGAAGATTGCAGCACACCCTGGTAATGTACTAAGATCACTTAACATATTTTATTGTCTATGAGAGGTAAATTATAATTGCAAATGTAATGTACACAATGCATATGCTGTACACAGACTTCACTTTGACTCCTTATATTTCATAGAGTAGTTCTCTTGAGAATGTAGGTAGGTAAAAATACACTATATGGCCTAAATGTCGTGGTCACTTGACCATCACACCGATGTGGACACCCCTCTAATTAAGTGTTTCCAGTGAAGTTGGATGTTGCACAGCATACAAAGACATTTTAGACAATTGTTCTCCTTTGACTCGTGGCAAACAGCTTTTCTATTTCAGCATGACTGTGCACCAATCTAGGTCCACAAAGACATGGATTGATGAGTTTGATATGTAGAACTCAAATGACCCATACAGAGCCCTGACCTATGGGAGGAATTCAAATGCCAAAAATGAGGAAAGTCTTCTTCTTCAACCTCTGTTCTTTTGGCTGAATAGGCACACATTCCCATAAAGACACTCCAGAATCTGGTGTAAATCTGTCCCAGAGGAGCAGAAGATGTTATAACCACAAAGGGAGGGTCCACTCCAATATTAATATTCATGGTTTTGGCATGGTATATCTGACAAGCTTATATACTTATGATGGGCAGGTTACCACAAACTTTTTGCCATATAATGCAAATAAAAAGCGCTGAAAATGGAATTAATTTGTCATGTTTTAAAGACTGAAGCAGCTGTACACATTATATATATATACAAAAAAGAGTCCTTCTCATTTTTAAAGTATTTACTACAAAGACTCAAGCCATAATGCTAGAACTGTAACTTCTATAAAATAAAGTCTCATCAGTTAAAAGCATGTCTATGAATAATTATCTGACTAATATTATTCCATACCTACAAAAATTACAAATACTGTTTAGAAAACATGACTTGCCGTTTCATTATAGCTTTTTGGTAGGTCTCTGGTGTAGCCATAAGCAGTCAGAATGTATTGACTGTATGAGTGCATTGTTAGGAAGCAGATGATGTCTGATTTTCTCTTCTCCACAAAGTCTACCACTGCTTTGGTTTCTGGTTCAGATACAGGTGAAATTCCACAGTAAGAGTTGTCTGAGCAATTTTTGGATGATCCGAGATCTGCAAATGCCAGACTGAAATTAAAGAACAATTCCAGGCAACAAGTAAAAGCATTCAGTGAGCTAGTAAAGGTATCCAGCAAATGCTGCAAATGTACTCAATCAAAATATTCAAGTGATTTACTTTAAATCTTATGCATAATCCCCCCATTCAGATTGCAGCCGGCAGCTGACAAGGTCCACATGAGGGCAGCAGGAGTATACTTTTCAATGCTTTACTAGGTAACATCTTCTCTTTGTCCTCTTCATGCACACACCAATTCCAACTCCCAAGACAGTTTGGGATGTAAATGGTTTGCTGTAAACATAGTACTGGCATATTTTTACATTAGGCTTTCTGAATTAGAGAGGTAGAGTTTTCCAAATATACCGAGTAGGTGTGTTTCAGGATTTGTTCAAGTTGTGAATGCTTAGGCCTCAAGAAAATTTATGACAGTATGAGATGTTGCTAGCTATTTTTGGCCTACATGAATGTCAACATTTTCCTGTACTTTATTTGTAATATGTGACTAGGTACCGTGACTGGAAGGACCCTGAAAAAGTAAAGAATTTTGGGTAGGCATGATATCTTAATTGCATATATGCTGCCAAACAGGATATTGTGGGAGATTGCCATACATAAAGCAAGCCTAACAATTCTTGAAATGTAATACCTTTTTCTGGTACAATGGGGACAATTCACAACGCAGTATATTACTGCATCCAAGTATGCATTAAGATACCGCACAGCGTTTTCCAAAAAATGTTGACATTCACTAAAAAAACTCTACTAAAATACTGCAAGAGTTATTTTTTAAGTCATGCGTTATTTTAGTAGTGAAAAGATGCAGTAATGTAACGAGTCATCAGCTATCAGATGATGCTGTCAGCTTTATTTTAGGTCGGTGGTGGAAGCAGGAATCATGATAGATGATGGATCTACACTGGGGGACATTTTTATTTTTTTTAATTCTGTTTGTTTTAATAAAGGACTTGTGAAAAACTGCCTCCTGTGCTTTTATACACTACACTTTTTTTTATGGTGAAAGAGTACGGGTACCATGTACTCATTCACGTGGGGGGGACAAGATCTGGAGGTGTTTATTTATTTATTTATTCCAGGTACTTATATAGCGCCGTCAAGTTATGCAGCGCTTTACATATATATTGTACATTCACATCAGTCCCTAACCCTCAAGGGGTGTACAATCTAAGGTCCCTAACTCACATTCATACATACACATACTATGGACAATTCATACAGGATCCAATTAACCTACCTGCATGTCTTTGGAGTGTAGGAGGAAACCGGAGTACCCGGAGGAAACCCACGCAGGCACAGGGAGAACATGCAAACTCCAGGCAGGTGGTGCCGTGGGTGTTAAACGGGCTTCCAGATTCTGATAAGCCCCCTCCCGCAGACCCCCACAACCATGGGCCATTGCATCAATATGGAGACAAGGTGCTTTGGGGAAGGGGGGGGAGATCCCCTCCAACCCCAAACTACCCTGCCATGTTTGAGGGCATGTGTCCTGGTATGGTAAGAGGGGGCTCTCACTCATTCCCCCCCCCTTCCCTGACCTGCCGGGCTACATGCTCGGATAAGGATCTGATATGGATTTTTAGAGGGAACCCACAACTTTTTTTTTTATTTTGGTGTGGGGTTCCCCTCAGAATCCATACTAGACCTGAAGGACTTGGTATGGATGGGGGAGCCCTACAACATTTTTATTCTTAATTTTTAATTGATGGCAAATTCTTTTTTTCACATTCAGCTGTCAGTGGGGAAACCCTGCTGATGCAGCTGATGACTGATGACTGGTTGTTAAGGGCGTGACAGCCACCCGCTCCTTAACAACCATGATAGTTACTATAGTGGTGTGACCCTCCTGCGCTCCAAATGTGTGTTTAAAACAAACTAAATTAATATATGAACCCCAAACAGCTGCTAACATTAAATCATATACCAGTGATCAAGTAAATATAAACCATATAAATGCTGCGCTACATTCAAACTTATTTAAGTGAATGTGGAATCCAATAACTCAAATCAAAAAAGTGACAATAATAATGAAAATACATAATATTGCTTAATGATAACAAAATTACCAAATAAACCACCCAAACTGATGAAAAGGCACAAACTTAAATCTATACGTATGTGCATGAGAAATACACATACATATATTACATCACACGTGCACAATGTGAAGTGAAATAATGACTAAATAATAAACGCAAACTCAAAGTCCAATAATGAAATGTTGAAGGTGAACAAAACTGTAAACGGTGTTTCCAATAATACTGTAAGGTGACCACAAGTGAAACAAATCGTGCAGATATCTGGGTGTAGATAGAGCTTGTGAATCCAACCACCTTCTGGATTAGCCTCTCACCTCATCACTTCGACCCTTGCGGGTCAAAGAGCAGTAATGGATCCCTCTCACAGATCCTCCAGGCACCACAGCACTCCAAAACCACTTTTCAGGATTTAGTATTCCCACTCAGGCTCTTCTCCAAGTATAGGTGAAATATCAATTTCTGGGCGCAGAAGGAGGTTATTCTCAGCCTGCTCCGGGGCCGCAACGTGCTGTGTGCTGCAGAGACGGGGTGTGTGACACCCCGTCTCTGCAGCACACAGCACGTTGCGGCCCCGGAGCAGGCTGAGAATAACCTCCTTCTGCACCCAGAAATTGATATTTCACCTATACTTGGAGAATTTGAGTGGGAATACTAAATCCTGAAAAGTGGTTTTGGAGTGCTGTGGTGCCTGGAGGATCTGTGAGAGGGATCCATTACTGCTCTTTGACCCGCAAGGGTCGAAGTGATGAGGTGAGAGGCTAATCCAGAAGGTGGTTGGATTCACAAGCTCTATCTACACCCAGATATCTGCACGATTTGTTTCACTTGTGGTCACCTTACAGTATTATTGGAAACACCGTTTACAGTTTTGTTCACCTTCAACATTTCATTATTGGACTTTGAGTTTGCGTTTATTATTTAGTCATTATTTCACTTCACATTGTGCACGTGTGATGTAATATATGTATGTGTATTTCTCATGCACATACGTATAGATTTAAGTTTGTGCCTTTTCATCAGTTTGGGTGGTTTATTTGGTAATTTTGTTATCATTAAGCACATGATAGTTACTGTTTGTTAAGTATGCCGGTGGCCACTTACTCCTTAATATCCAGTACATATCACATGCCTCGACCGCTACTTAATTACTGCATGCATTTAATTATTTATTTCCTTGTGTGAATTGACTTTAAGGTCTTTCTATGCGGTATTTACCAAGCGTTTTTGCTATTTGCGGTAAATACCGCATACTAGCAATAGTGAATTGACATTTTTCTGTATCACATGCGATATATGGTCACCCGACTGATATAATGCATGCAATAACCTTTAGTGAATTGCCCCCAGAATTTTTAATGAAGAGATGAGGAAAACACGACAAAATATGCATGCAAAACAGATAAGTCCCACGCAGGGGACAAAAATAACAGTACGGTAAGGAGAACTCAGGATGGTTACATAGGTTTTAAAGCGTATAAAGCTATAAACCAATTACCTCCATAAAACGGTGCCAGAGGCAACCATACAAGTTTGGGCTTGAGGGCCCAGGGATGGGTTGTAGGGGAAGGGAATAGGGGACCTCATCGACTGGAATCAGAGGGACCCTAGTCCGAGTGTCGGTGGGAGGTGAGGGAGAAAAAAATGGGGGGGGGTAATAAAAGAAGAGAATGGATTGAGATGGAAAAAAGATATGAGGATCAAAGCAAGACTAGAAAGAGGAGAGAGGTTCCTGCAGGCTAGGTAATGCTCTATGGGAGCCAGGAGCTCCCAGGCTAGTTGGATGCAGGGTTGGGAGAGCATATGACCACCATGCGGTCTACACTTTGAGGAATTTGGAGTGGGAGTCATGAAGGATGCTGGCCATCTTCTCGTGAATCATTAGGGTAGTCAGAATGCTCTTCACTTCTGTGAACCACACTGCGGGTTTCTTCCAGGCTCTGGCTATAGTGCGTTTGGCAACAATAAAAAGGTATTTAGCCCCTTTCTGTTGATGGGAGAAGAGGCCTGGGATTTTGCAGTAGAGGCATGCATATCTAGCATCCTTGTGGAAGACCAAATTAATGAGTATTGTCAAGAGACTAAAGACCCTTGACCAGAATCCCACCAATTGGGGGCAGGACCACCAGATATAGATCTCGTCCCCGCACAGGCCACACCCCCAGAAACATCTATCACTATATGACGGTTTGCGTGGGTGATATGAATTGGTACCCAGTACCAGCAGAGGAGGGCTTTGTGGGCCTTCTCCAGAGTGACAGTGTTAAAGGAGCATTTGGCTACACTTGATCAGGCCTTACTCCAGTCCTCAAGATCTATGGGGGCTGCCACATCTCACGCCCATCTAGTAATATATGAGAGGGACATAGACAAGCCACTGGCACTCAAAGAAAAATAGACCATAGAAATGGCGCCACATGCTCCTGGAAAGTGTAAACAGATATGCTCAAAGGGCATTTTTTGGAATAGGAAAGAGGAGTTGCACCTAAGGGTGGCTATCCAGTGGTGAAGCTGCATTCAGTGGAAGAACTCTGAAAGGGGTGCCTCCTGTGTTTCGCAGAGTGAGGGCCAGGATGGGAAAGAGCAGTGGCAGACCTGAGGGAAGAGGGGGTTATTTAGGAGTGAGAGGAGAGGAAGGAATGGAGAGGGAGGGCATGAAGACGCAGTTGGGTAGGAAGCCACAGGAGGGCAGAAATTGGGAAAGGGGAGCAGTTAGGGATTACCAAGAGCATCTGAAGAGAGTCTGAAGTCATGTGTAACATAGCTGAGAAATTTGCATCGCCATTTAATATTTCGGTGGGTTCAGGACTCCACGTCCACCTCTCAATCTATGGGCATATAAAGTGGAGTGTGAGACTCGAGGGCATTTATAAGCCCAGATGAAGGAAAGAATCCTGTTTTGGAGTAAACGGAGGAAAAAAGGTACGGACCCAAACCAGTAGCATCGTAAAATAGTACAAAACTTGGGTAGAATGGTCATCTTCATCATGTGTATTCAGTATATGATAGGGTTGGGAAGCAGTAAGATTCCATATATGCAGTGATAGTACGCAAAAGAGGGCAGTAGTTAGCTGTGAACAGAGAGCAATAGGAAGAAGTCAGTTGGATTCCCAGATAGTTTAAAGACAAACTTGCCCAACAGTATGGGAAGGTTGCTTGAGGGTGTTAGACTGTTGAATTTAGAAAGGTGACATTCAGGGCAGTTGTCTTGTGGGGATTGATCAGAGACAGCGAATTGAGACAGAAGGATTTGGAGGTAGGGTATTGTGGTAATGGGGTTGGAAAGGTTGAAAAAAGCATCATCCCTGAATAGATTTATTCTATAAGATTCACTGGCATAAGGAATCCCCATAATGTTAGGATCAGCATGGAGAGCAGAGGCTAGGGGCTCGAGGGCCAGAATGAAAAGGACCGGGGAAGGAGGGCAGCATTGCCTTGTGCCCCTTAAGATGGGAAAAGAGACAGAGGAATGGCCTGCATAGTGGACAGTAGCTGTGAAAGAGGAATAAAGAGCAGAGAGTCAGATTGAAAATGACTATCCAAAACCCCAGCATTGCAACACATAGCACAGGTAGTCCCAGGAGAGGATGTCAAATGCTTTGTAGATGTCAAGTGAAAGAAGGAATTCCAGGATCCTGCATTGGTTCATCAGGGTTATCTTACGAATGTTATCCCCTGCCTGACGACCTGGTACGAAGCCAACCTGCTCCCTGTGGATCAGATGGCACACAAATTTGTTGATACGGGAGCATAAGATCTTTCCTAAGAGCTTCATGTCCTCACTTGGCAGGGAAATCGGGCTAAAGACCTGAAGGTCCAGTGTTTCAGCTGAGGTTTTGGGATGGAGATATGCGCCCATAGGGAGTCATAAGAGGGCAATTCTCCCTGTTGCATACTATTGAAGTAGGCCACCATGCGGGGAGCCAGGAGCTGGGAAAATTTGTGGTAATATAAGCCAGTGAAGCCATCCAGTCCTGGGGCTTTCGAACGGCAGTTCAGCATAATGGCTTTAGCTACAGTACTTCCATTTCAGTGATGATCGCGTTCAGAATGTAATACCTTTTTAAGCATTTTTGCTCAGCTAATTCTGCCTTCTTTGTCCCTCGCTGGTGCCTTTTCTGTTTGTGGTGATCCAGTGCTACAGTCTATGCCCATGCTGACTCGTCACCTCTTCATGACACCATCACAGCGATCAGTCTTTTAGGTCATGTGACCCTTGGACAGTCAATAAGAAATGTCCAACTCACTCAGGTATTGATGTGGACATCTGAATAAGAACTGTTTTCTTCTGCAAGGAAGGGGATGAAGATCCGAGACCAAGGATTTATGTGAGTATTTCAGGTTTTTAATCCCCATTGATTTTTACCCCAAATGTCACAGAGGTTGCTGCAGTGAACTGACAGAGATCTCTACACAAATTGATAGGCTTAATGTTGGCTTTACACCTTTGTGTTTCCACATTGCACTGCTTTGCATTGTTGTGATGGACTGCATCAGTAAAAAAGGTCAAGTTCAGTTTTTGGTGTGCTGAGAGCATTTAAAATGAATTGGCTGCCTTAGAGAGTCACATATTAATGTTAGGCTTAACTCACATGCACTAAAGACCTGTGAACCTGTAAACCTGTAAAAGCTGCACAGAGAAAAATATGGAGGCTGCTACTGAAGACCTGCTTTTGATATAATAGATGCCTTGCTATTGCTGACTTCAGTACTTTTTAATTCCTGACCTGCAAAAAGTATGTAGTAAGTGAAGTCAAAACTCCTTACATGCAGACTTATTCTGGGCCAGTGACTCAATGTTAAAAATAATGGATCAACGTAATAACCAGACAAGGATTTGTGTACAGATGAACACAGTGGAGTTGATGTAATGTGCAACAATGCTACAGACAACATACCAACTAAAGTGCTGATCTTCAAGTCCTGGTCTGGAAATAACTGTTTACAATAAAAATAAATGAGTTGGCCTATATACAAAAGCCCCAAACAGCTTAGCTGAGCTATTTATAGGGCATTATTTCAAGTTGTAAAGTGGAACAGATTACTTAACATAAAGACAATATGGTACCTAGAAATTAAAAAGACATGTTATCGTATCCATGAGATATATACAGGTGAAACTCGAAAAATTAGAATATCGTGCAAAAGTTCATTTATTTCAGTAATGCCGCTTAAAAGGTGAAACTAATATATGAGATAGACTCATTACATGCAGAGCAAGATAGTACAAGTCGTGATTTGTCATAATTGTGATGATTACGGCTTACAGCTCATGAAAACCCCAAATCCACAATCTCAGAAAATGAGAATATTACATGCAATCAATAAAACAAGGATTGGACATAGAACAATATCGGACCTCTGAAAAGTATAACCATGCATATGTACTCAGTACTTGATTTGGGCCCCTTTTGCAGCAATTACTGCCTCAATGCGGCGTGGCATGGAAGCTATCAGCCTGTGGCACTGCTGAGGTGTTATGGAAGACCAGGATGCTTCAATAGCGGCCTTCAGCTCTTCTGCATTGTTTGGTCTCATGTCTCTCATCTTTCTCTTGGCAATGCCCCATAGATTCTCTATGGGGTTCAGGTCAGGCGAGTTTGCTAGCCAGTCAAGCACAGTAATCCCACGGTCATTGAACCAGGTTTTGGTGCTTTTGGCAGTGTGGGCAGGTGCCAAGTCCTGCTGGAAAATGAAGTCAGCATCCCCATAAAGCTCGTCTGCGGAAGGAAGCATGAAGTGCTCCAAAATCCCCTGGTAGAAGGCTGCATTGACCCTGGACTTAATGAAGCACAGTGGACCAACACCGGCAGATGTCATGGCTCCCCAAATCAACACAGACTGTGGAAACTTCACACTGGACTTCAAGCATCTTGCAGTGTGTGCCTCTCCATTCTTCCTCCATACTCTGGGTCCTTGGTTTCCAAATGAGATGCAAAAGTTGCTCTCATCAGAAAAGAGGACTTTGGACCACTGAGCAACAGACCAGGTCTGTTTTTCTTTAGCCCAGATAAGACGCTTCTGACATTGTTTGTTGTTCAGGAGCGGCTTGACAAGAGGAATACGACATTTGAAACCCATGTCCAGGATCCGTCTGTGTGTGGTGGCTCTTGATGCACTGACTCCAGCCTCAGTCCACTCCTTGTGAAAGTCCCCAACACTTTTGAATGGCCTTTTCCTAACAATCCACTCCAGACTGCGGTCATCCCTGCTGCTTGTGCACCTTTTTCTTCCACACTTTTCCCTTCCACATAACTTTCTATTAATGTGCTTTGATACAGCACTTTGGGAACATCCAACTTCTTTTGCAATTCCCTGTTGAGGCTTTCCCTTCTTATGGAGGGTGCCAATGATGGTTTTCTGCACAACTGTCAGGTCAGCAGTCTTTTCCATGATTGTGATTCCTACTGAACCAGACTGAGAGACCATTTAAAGGCTCAGGAACCCTGTGCAGGTGTTATGGCTTAATTAGCTGATTAGAGTGGGACACTTTGAGCCTAGAATATTGCACCTTTTCACAATATTCTAATTTTCTGAGATTGTGGATTTGGGGTTTTCATGAGCTGTAAGCCATAATCATCACAATTATGACAAATCTTGGCTTGAACTATCTTGCTTTGCATTGTCCCAAGGGTAGCCGTGGTAATCTATGTTTGAGATAAATGCCCAGGTGCTCACCCAAAAAGAAACTCATACAAATCCAAAACTTGTATAAAGGCACTTACAGGTCTTGCTGAGAAAATACAATAGCAGTGTTTTTATTGTCGACGTTTCGATGAAGCTCAGTCCATCTTTCTCAAGACACTCAGGGGAGATTTACTGTAGCACTCAGAATCTGGTGCAGCTGTACGTGGTAGTTAATCAGCTTCTAACTTCAGCTTCTTCAGTTAAGCTTTGACAATAAAACATGGAAGCTAATTGGATTCTATGCAGAGTTGCACCAGATTTGGCACTTTCCAGTCTTAGTAAATCTCCCCACACAGTAACACTAGGCGTAACGCACATGCACTAAAGACCTGGGAATCTGTAAAACCTGTACGGAAAAAAATATGGAAGCTGCCATTGCTGACCTGCTTTTGAAAATAACAGATGCCTGGCTATTGTTGACTTAGGTATATTCCAATTCCTCACCCAGAAAAAGTGAAGCCAGAAATCCTTATATGTAGACTTATTCTGGGCCAGTGACTCAATATTGAAAATAATGGATTGATATAACAACCAGACAATGTGAGGGGGGGAGACTATACTTACCGCACCATTTAACATTGAAATTCCGATTAAGGTCCACCCCATAACATGTCCCATTTTCTTGCTGTGAACGGGATTTTCTCCAAAGTCTATCCTAGGAAATGATTAATCCATTTATTACAAGAAAATTACTAACCAACCAGGCTACTGAATGTTATTTGTTTTGTTTCTTTTTCAGATGACCACAAATAAACTGTGATATTTTTATATAAGTTTATCTAAACCCAAGAACTAAAATCTAACAAATTTCAATTTACCAGTCCTTAGATGTGAATACTGCATTAGTTTTCCTCTATTCTTTTTATTTTTACCTGATGATCCTGTCAGTATACTTCTTGTCCAAGGGTGACAACAGCACTGACTTAACTGTATCTATGTAAAGGCAGATATGTCACCCTAAGGCAGTAAGTGAATTAGGAGTGACTACAAAACAACTCCCCCTCCCCTCATTTCCATAACATAGAGATGTTCTGTAGTCCACAGAGAGAACTTAGGGCTGATAATATTGTTGGAGTTTTCAGTGCAACATTGTCAGCTGTTAGAAATGCACTGGATTTCTGACAGATCAATAAGTATTTTTGTAGCACTTATTACATTACATACTATGCTACATTAACAGACCAAATTAAGGGGGGGGCAGTAAGAGATGTTCATTCTTAGGGCTCGCATACACCTTACTCTTTACATTATTGTCTCTTTACATTGATATTGCCAATTACTGTATGATGGCATTCACAAAAGAAGGGTGAAAGTGGCATTTTTCTTCAAATTAAAATACTACACCAATCAGCCATCGCATTATGACCACTGACAGGTAATAACACATGGTAGACTATCTTGGCATCTGAAAGTGGGAAGGATATATTAGGCAGCAAGTGAACATATTGCCCCTGAAATTGACGTGTTATAAGCAAAAAACATGGACAAGCATAAGGATTTGAGCAATTTTGACAAGGGCAAAATTGCAATGGCTAGATGATTGGGTTAGAGCAGGGGTCTCCAAACTTTCTAAACAAACTTTAGGGGGGCTGGACTGTGGCCATTGGGAGTAGAAAAGGTCCCAACATCAGTGGGAAAAAATAATAACCCATCTTTGGAGTCATTGGGAGGAATTGTGCCCCATCGTTGGTGTCATTCGGCCCAATTGTTGGTGTCATTGGGAGGAATTGTGGCCCATTGTTGGTGTCATTGGGAGGAATTGTGCCCCTTCATTGGTGTCGGAGGGTAGGAACTATGTCCCATTTTTTGTATCAGTGAATGAAATCGTGCTCCAAAAGCCAGATAAAAGCAAGCAAAGGGCTTGAAGACCACTGGTTTAGAGCATCTCCAAAACTGCAGCTCTTGTGGTGTGCAGTGGTCAAGACCTACCAAAAGTGGCCCAAGGAAGGAAAACCGTCAAGCTTGTGAGAGGTTCATGGGCAACCAAGGCTCATGCAGTTGTGGAGTGAAGGCTGGTCTGTGTAGTTTAATCCAAAATAAGAGCTACTTTAGCTCAAATTCCTGAAAAAGGTTCATGCTAGTTCTGATAGAAAAGTGTCAGAACATACAGTGCATTACAGTTATGTATGGGGCTGCGCAGCTGCAGACCACTCAGGGTGCCTCTACTGACTCATAATCCACAGCCAAAAGTACAAACAATGGGCATAGAAGCATCAGAACTGAACTATGGAGCAATGAATGTCTGGTCTGATTAATTCAATAATGGTTTGAGGAACACAACAAGTGTAAGGTGTTGACCTCCAAATTCTCCCAATGTCAATTAAATCAAGCATTTGTGGGATGTGCTGGAAAAAACAAGTCTGATCCATGGAGGCCCCACCTCATAACTTACAGGACCTAAAGGATCTGTAACTGAGGGCTTAGTGCTGGATTCCACAGCATACCTTCAGAGATCTAGTGGAGTCAATGTCTCGACAGGTTATGGGTGGTTATAATGTGATGGCTGATTGGTGTATATTTATGATATATAGGGTATACTGGTTATATATGGGCTCTAGGAAGGAGAGACTGTACAAACATTACATGTAAAATTCATTGTAGAATTTAGCTGTACTTTTGTTCACTTCAAAGATTCAAAGCTGTGTGATTATCTATGTAATGAAACTACAACTTCCTACACTTCAAAATTAACAGCTGCATGTACTTGCAAAACCATGCATGTAAAACAAGCAAGCAGTGTTAGGTGAAACTTTTTTTGGCCTCACCTCGCCTGCCTCCTGAGATTCTATAGTCATTTAGTTGTTGCTTAGCTAACCAATAGGGAGATGAAATGGTGCAACTGTGCAAGGGAAGCTGGTCTTAGACATGGAAAGTCAAGATGTGCACATAACTTCAGTTGCCTACTTCTCTGGAGCCACACACCTGAAAAGACGTACTCAGGGTAGGAATTCCCCAGGCATGTAAAATGTGTGCTTTAACCAGTTCCAGTTCAGGACAATTCTGATATTTCTCTTATGTGTGTACACTTTAACCTTGTGTAGGTTAAGGCTTTAAATGAAAGAAACTGTTATTAGTGTTCTCTGTACTTGGCATTAGAGATGCACCTTCTTTGTATTCAGAAACAAATGCAGCTCTTGGGATACTTGGCAGTAGATGTGACTGCAATGTAGACTTGCCCATCTACCTCTTCAGAATCTGTTTGAAGCACATTATCAGAGCCGGGCAGTACATGCCAATAGGCTCAGCTTCATAAGCCCAACATAAGAAAATAACTTCTTTCATGGTCGTTCCAACATTTGAGCACACCAGGGGAATCTACCTTGTTACAGTTTCAAGGCCTCACGACCAGCAAATCTACCACATGCTTTGTGTTGTTTCTAGTTTTCTAGGGAAAGCAAAAAGATGCACAGCTTTATTATGGTGTTTAATTCATAAATAAACTTCACGGAATTTCTATCATAGCAACTGTTATGACTCATTTACATGGACAGCAGCCCTTGTTGCCCCTCTGAAAAGTGATCTGCAGTGCATCGATTTTCAGAGAGTGATACAGGAGAAGGCGCAGGGCATTCAGGAGGCGATACTGGTGCCTCCTGAAAGTTTTTTTTTGGTATTTTGAATAGACATACCACATCACAACTGTGATCCTAGCATTTGCTTCATGGTTGTGGTGCAGTCTTATTCACTTGAAAGGAATTTTTTGAGCAGTGAATACATAAAAGGTAGCTGTTTTACCTGCCATGGGATTTGTACTTCTGTCTGTTCACTTCTAAAACTTACACAGCTCTTCCATACCACACAACCTTGTCGGCTAGGGCAGGAGACCTGATATTGTTCTTCTGAAGTTAACCTCCCTAGCGGTCTGATTATGTCCATATTTCTGTGCTCAAAGCGGTACATTTTTTTGCATGGAAATATGTATCTTTTTTATTGTAGGCCTGTAATTTTTAGGAATAACTCACTGAAATCTGTCCGAACAAGAGTCTAGTAAACTCCCCCAAATTTGAAACATGAAATCATAAATTATAATTTAATAAATAATCATAAAAAAAATAATATAATATTAAATTTAATTCAATAATATAATCAAACCAAAAACACTGAATTTTGAAATATAGCACCAAGTTCGCACATCACTGAGCAAAGTCGCAAAATCGTTTTCAGTGTCTGATGAGGAATTCCCCCATGAATCATTATCATTCAATTCTGCAAGTGGTTCTAATTTACTATCGCTGTTCTCTAGCTGGTCTAAAACCGATTTTGACCTAAAGGGATGCTTTTTGGACGCCATGGACGTTTCTCAGTTTACAGGCAGAAAGAACAGTAAAAATGCAGGCAGGGCACAGGACAAAGCACTCGGGACAAAATGTATGTGAAATGGTTTGATACAGTAATGTTTTACTTTGTGATTTTAGTGTATTTAGTGAATGTCACTTTTTGTCATTTTCAAATTTCCCGCCGCTTTCTCTCCGTATGTCCCGACGTCGCAGGGAACGGAACCCTGAAGACAGATGCCGGTATCCGCCGGAGGACCTTACAGGGGACACTGCAGGAGGGACATCGTGGGAGCGCAGGACAAGGTAAGAGAAGAACAGATCCCGGAGCAGTGCTGCAAGTTATTCCCGAGTGTAGCTCGGGGTTACCGCTTGTGGTACTGAAACTTTACCCCCAGCTACACTCGGGAATACCGCCAGGGAGGCTACAGGATATCTAAACCTTAGATACAATGGCTGCATTTCTTTTATTTCTTACGGATTCATATTCAGCTGTAGGTCATAACAGAATGGCACAATCATAACACACAACATGGCAAAAAGTAAACAAAGTAAATGACCCGTTCAAAAGTCTGCATACCCTTTGTTCTGGCAATTTGACCATGCAGCTCATTTTTATTAAAGTATTGTCTTATTTTGCTCCTTGAAACAACCACCTCATCTTTTTCCAGAGCAGCATGTATTTTTCCTGTGGTTACCTATGGGCTTTTCTTTGTATCCTGAACAATTCTTCTGGCAGTTGTGGCTGCAATCTGGCTTGATCTATCGGACCTTGACTTAGTATCGAGAGATCCCAGAATTCTCCACTTCTTAATAAGTGTTTGAACAGTACTGACTGGCATATTCAAGGCTTTGGATATCTTTTTAAATCTTTTTCCATCTTTATAATGTTCCATTACCATGTTACCTTTTGACAGTTCTTATCTGCTCCCCATGGCTCAGTATGAAGCCTGCTCAGTGCATCCATGCGAGAGCTAACAAACTCACTGACTACTGACTATACACAGACACTAATTGCAATTATTTAAAAAGCCACAGATGTGGGAAATGAACCTTTAATTGCTATTTTAACCTGTGTGTGTCACCTTGTGGGTCTGTACCAAGGCCAAACATTCCACAGTATGTAAAGTTTTGATCAGGACTATTTGGGTGATTTCTATTATCATTATAATTTAAAAAGGAGCCAAACTATGTGATAATAAATTGCTTTATATGGTCACTATCCTTAAATAAGAGTTTTTTTGGTATGATCAGTCATATTTTTAATATCAATGCCGATTTCTGCCCGGGCATGCAAACTTTTGAGCACAACTGTACTTGCAGAAAATGTACTTTGTCTGAAAAAAGAAAACTAATGCAGCAACTACATCTAACAACTGGAAAGCAGTTACATTTTTGTACTTGGGTTTAGATATACTTTGGGTTTAGCACTTACAGGTCTTGTCCCTTCTGCAGCAAATGGATGAGGAAAGAGAAGCAGACCGATGAACTCTCTGTTACTCTGCCCTCAATTTCTATCAGCATGCTCCTTGCATTGCAGTTCAGCTTATTGACTGCTTGGACTGATTTTCCCCTGCTCAGCAATCTAGTTAAGTTCAGTAATATATCTTATGATGTATTAAAGTGGTTGTAACCCTATAAAAAAAACATGCTCCTGTTCCTTTAAAGCATGATAAATACCATAGTGCTTTTGCAGTGTAAATTGTCCCTTTCTATGTTCTAAAATACCTGATTGATCTTGCCTGTTCTTCTCCCTCTCCCTCTTCCTGTCATTTCTCTAGTCAGTGCTGTGAGCCAATCTGTTCCCCGCCCCTCCTGCCGCTATTTCCCTGTGGCTGTAAAGTAACATACATAAATCACTTGCATCCCTCTGCTTTAAGAAGATATTACTTGCAGTGTGCCAGTTTTTAAAAAATTATAATCCTAAAAACCTTCTTGCACAGCGCCGCTGTGGGGTCACATGACCTCCCTCTGCTGGCTGACGTATGTTCAAGGGCAATCTCTGTCCTCCCGCTGCTCTCCTTAGATTGGGGAAGGAGAGTGGAGGGAGGTCATGTAACCGCACAGAGGGGTTAGGGGGTGATACAAATACTGAGACATTGTTTACTTTAATGCAGGGAATGCATTAAAGTGTTAGTAAACCCAGGACCCTGTATTCACTATATCCGGTCTCCCACAGTACACAGAACATGGAAATGCAATTATTTTAGTAAATATAAACTGCTAAATACCTTTTTCTCATCAGCAGTTAGAACAGTCTTGTGACTTCTATCAGTGTTCAGGAGAGCACTAGTTAAAGCTTGTAGGAGGAGATTTCATTCTCCTCTAGGAGGATTCAGAACCCCTGACCTCTGTCTAGACAGTGCTGATTGGCCCTGTGCTGATCACATGCACTCCTCCAAGAAAAAAAAACCCTCTCTAGCAATACATACCAAACTGAGCATGTGCAGAGTGTCTCCACATGATACGTCTTATCAGGAGATAAGGGGAGGATCAGAGAACTCAGGATCAAAAAGCATTTATACACAATGCAAAAGATTAACCCCTAAGGTTCCACAGTGAGTATATCAAGCATGCTATACTGCATATACAGACTGATTTTACTGTTGTGGGTTTAGTAACACTTTAAGGTAAAAAATGTTTACCCTCTAGAACCACTTTAAAAAGGCTGCAGAATAGATTTTGGAAAGTGGCATGCAAACCCAGGCCACCATCTGACAATACGGAGTGTATGATGGTTTATAGTGTTTCACACACATGTTAATCTCTGCCTAGATATACAATTCTATCCAACAAAAAAGGGTGAAAATTAATTTACAATTTAACTTACAGTGGTCCATGTATAAATGTAGCCATCGATGTTTAGAACAGGCAAGACATAGAGATCCAGGTTCCTGAGAATCTTTTTTATACGTGCATCCTTTTGATGATTCTGTACAATCTAATGATGAATATAGATGAATTAAATTCAATCCTTAATGTACATTTGTCATGACAATTAATAGCCTTATACTGTATGCTGTTTATTTATGTTTTTTATATTCTAATAAATAAATAAATAAATAATAAACTTAATCCCTTAAAGAGTACCATATTCATGCCATAAACCCCCAAAAAAGGCAAAAGATGCATCAGTCCATGTTGTGGGAACATACTTACTGTTTAACCCTTTCACAACTTGAGGTCATTGAAGCCTAAATGCCAAGACCAAATTTAACAGCGTCAGTATGTGTCAGTTAGCTTGACAATAACTCTATATGACTACCTAGGGCATATAAAGCTTTTCCTTGGTACACTGTATAAAAAAATACTCTGCTCATGGACATGGACAAATGGACACTCCTAATTCAAATGCATTTTCCATATGCATTCTGCATTTTACAAATGCAACCATTTTTTTTAAAATCTGCATGCAAACTACTTCCTGTGTGAGGCCTCATTCACACAGGCATATGGATTGAAGGGCTATCTTCAGCCACCCAGGATACACAGGTGTTCTGTGCAGAGGCGTGCAGGCAGCCTGTTGAAATAAATGTTAGACAGCCAGCTGCATGGACCTGCATGGACCTCCATACGCATTCCAGATTGTACATCCATTTGGGTCTGGTGCAGAGATCAGAACGCAGGCTGTCTGAATGAGGCTGTGTGAATGAGGCCTAAGATACAATGACAGTTGGAATCAGTAGGCATGTTTGCAGACCAGCCTCGTGATCACCATGATTGGTTGTCATGGTAAGCACATCAACAGGCACCATACTGGTTTGTTTCTGATTGTTAGTTTGTGACCAGAATGACCCCAGAAATAGTAATTTGTACAGTTTCACGTTCCTAGTTCTGCAATGGAACATAGAAAAAACAATCTCTCATAATGGGACTTAAGAACTTGCTACAAGCTTTAGTTTACATACATTATAGACATTTTTTAATCAAAGCTGAAATTGTACTTTAATCTTGGACTATAAAGATGAATGATTTATCTAAAGAAGAAATGGGTATCTAGACTATACATTAACTTTGAGTAAACATTAAAGTGATTGTAAACCTCAGACATGAAAAATATGAACAAAGCATATCCCTCTATAGTGTGTACTTGTTTCAATTAAAAGCACTAAGTGTCATTTCTCTCTGCTGCTTACTTCCCCTGCTTTAAGCATGAATCACTTCTGACAAGTTTTTCTAACACCAAAAGAAAAATGGTGACAGGGGAGGGACCTCCAGCTGATTGACAGCCTCAGCTCTGTTCCTGTGTGCAGTGTGAAGGGGGGGTGTCCCTTCCTTCCAATCAGCTCTCAGAGCTCTTCTCACTGAGCTCTGCAGAGTGTGACTTCAGCTCTCTCCACCCTCTTTTTTTTCTGAAATCTCAAGACAAGTTTTTAAATATTCAGCACTTTGAATGGCTCTAGAGAAGAGAAGACTGTAGACAGACAGGTACAACTTATGTCGTAAGATTTATTTACCTTTATGTATCACCTGAAGCCAATCACCTCACTGGGTACATGTAAAGCTTGCCATACATGGGTCGAATTCCGAAAGAAATTTAGTTCGAAAATCTTTTTTAAGAATTTTCGTTCACATTTTGCACCATTAGTGGGTCACAGAAACAGCCCATTTTCATGTGACCATCAAAATTGAGTTATTGGGCATGTTGGAAATTTTTTGAAAAACAAACAAATTTCGAATCTATGATAGGAGAATCATGCAGGAAATATAAACAAAAAAGAAATTAACATGAGCTGTGACCTGGAAAGAAAAGAAAATTCTTGGCGACGAAAATTCTTTTCTGTAGCAACATGAGGTAAAATTGAAGGCTTGGTTGATTTGAATTTTGAAATCAATGGTGGTACCATTGGATTACAAAATGCACAAAATTTCCAATTTTCTAAAGACACATGTATGGCCTGCATAAGGGTTTACAACCACTTTAAGATCCAAGTAAAGCAGCACTAAGAGAATGGAGGCCCAGGCAGAATATCTTACATTTGTAGTTACATCTAACTATACATCTAACGTTGATTACTGAAGTTGTCAAAGTGCCACACATATTTAGGTTGGATTGAAAATATTGGGTTGTTTAAAGTTAATTATTATTATAATACAGGATTTATATAAAGCCAACAGTTTGCTCAGCGCTTTACAATATAAAGGGAGACAATACAGCAACAATACAGTTCAATACAAGAGGGATAGGAAGACCCTGTTCCTTGGAGCTTACAATCTAGGAGGGAGGGGTTAGTGGTACAAAAAGGTAATAACTGTGGGGGATGGAATGGTAGGAAGAGTAGAAGATTCCATTATTAGCTGAGGGCAGGATAGGCTTCCCGGAAAAGATAGGTTTTCAGAGATTTAACCAAAAACAGATATTCTAGTTTTTTGTAGATGCTGGAAAATGTAACCACCTAATAACATTTCATAATGTGCACAAATGTCTACGTTACTATAAGAAGGCCCCTCTGTCCTGGTTTGATTTTATATTTCTTTTATATTCAATAGCAAACAACAGGAGGAGTGGAAGCACCCCCAAGGAAGTCATTATCTGTAAACACTGCAAGGTGGGTGGAAAAACAGCTGGCAAACATGCCAGGAAGATCTCACCGCTGGGGTCCTCAAGAGATACAAGAGGTCAGCAGGTGACTCAGCCAAGCAGATGCACCCAATAACTGAATATCAGTTTTCAGTGGACTGAACCTTTAAGCATATAGAGTATTTTTCGTAATTTCAAAGTATACCACACATACGGACAATATACAGTACATATTATGTGTATTTACTTCATTGCAAAAAACAATTATATAAAATGTTAGTGGAACTACAATAGAAAAAAAAATCATGCATGATGAACCGTGATCATGTATGCTTCCTACTGTCTTTAAATTTTGACTGTTAGACTCTGGACATTTATGAACGTCTAATGATTAACTGTTGCATGGGAATTTGTAATTATGCATTCATTTTAATGATTGGCCTACTACTGATCTTCTTAAGCACCTTACAGTACAGCTGCAATTCCTTTTCAGTGGGTGTTAGTTCATATTAGGTCAGCATCAATCCCAGGGTCAGTCTTTGTCAGCCAATGCAAACATATGCTAATATGCATGAACAGAGCTATGATTGAATTGGTATTGATGAATCTTGGCTTCATTCTTCACATAACTGGGCCATTAATATACATGGATATGTTCTCTTTCGGAGAGACAGGGTAAATAGGAAAGGTGGTGGTGTCTGTCTCTATGTGAGAAGTGATCTCAGAGCGAGTGAGAAAGAGGACCTAATTGATGGAGAGTGTGATGAGGTTGAAGCTTTATGGGTGGAACTGCACATGGGGGTGCATACTACAAAGGTAATCATTGAAGTTTGTTATAGGCCACCCAGTGTTAATGAGGAGGTGGAGACTCAGCTCCTTGCACAGATTGAAAGGGTTGCAACGGCTGGGACAGTGATAATAATGGGGGATTTTAACTACCCAGAAATTGACTGGAGTAATGGTACTGCAGGAACAATTAAAGGGCAAACCTTTTTAAACCTACTACAGGACAATTTTATGGTACAGTTCATAGAGGCCCCAACTAGGAATGATGCTCTACTGGACCTAGTAATCTCAAACCATGCAGAGCTTATTACAAATGTCCATATAAAAGAACATCTGGGTAGCAGTGACCATAACATGATTTCTTTTTTTGTTAGCTGTAAACAGCAAATCACATACGGGAAAAATAAAAACGCTCAATTTTAAGAAAGCTAATTTTTCAAGGCTGAAAGCTGCTCTCCAAGACTTAGACTGGGGGCAATATTGGCATCGATGAACACAACACAGAAAAGGGAGTTCTTCAAAAAGACTGTATGTGAACACAGTGCAAAATATATTCCCATTAGCAACAAGTTTAAAAGGCTAAAAATCAAACCTATGTGGCTTACGGCCAAAGTTAAAAAAGCTACAGATAATAAGAAAAGAGCTTTTATTAAATATAAAAATGAAGGAACGCTATCATCGTTTAAAAATTACAAAGAATATAACAGAATATGCAAAAAGGAAATAAAGGCCGCAAAAATTGAAAACGAACGACAGATTGCAAAAGATAGCAGGACCAACCCCAAAAAATTCTTCAAATATATTAATAGAAAAAAGGTCTGGTCTGAGAATGTAGCCTAAGCGTAGTATTCAGGAGCAGTTATCATACATTAATATCACTGAGAAAACCAATCTGACTGTTTCTGTGAAAGTGCTTTAAAAGGCATGAATAAACTTCTTACTGAGAAATAGCAGTCAGTGTATGTTTAGTTGCCTTAGAATTACTGTATCCTCATGTAATATAATCAACATCCATTGTTCACTTCTAAGACCACTTTTAGATACAGGATAACAGTTGCTAGAAATCTGAATAAGAAAGCGCCTCAATTGCTATTGTTCATCCCCATATGCCTGCACAGCTCTTCTCTTCCCCTTCTACTCATGCAAACTTGCTAGATCAGCATAATCAACTTTGCAGGTTAATAGAGGTTTCTGCAGTTCTCTGAAGATTAGCTGCCTTGAGGATGGTCAAATACCCACGTATCTGACCACCCCCATACTGAGATCAGCCTCTGCGGCATTTTAATATAGCATTGTATTAGTGATAATAAACCTAACATATTCTTTACTGTGAATTTTGATAAGGAGAAGAATTTGAAATGTATTAAGAAGGAACATTCTTAAAAACAAGCACATATCAGAAACCTATGGCAGAAAATTCACTGCATCATGCGGATCGTTTCCATGCCATATGAATAGTTGCTCAGAGGCAAAGAAGCGGTTGAATTAGATTTATGGATAATGGATAATTATTGAACCACCCTGTCACCAAGGATGGAATTACTGTACATAACCCAACAAGTTTGTTCTACTGCTTTCACAGCTCCCATCCTGCTTTTGGACCATCAACATCTACATGTTTCTTGGTGACTGGATTAAGGCATCTGTGCTACCTGTGTGAAAATAAATGCTGGGGTAATCTTATTGGAACAGAGGAAGTGGCTTGGAGAAGCTACAAAAACATCTTCAGCACTACAGAATAAGCACAGAATACGCTTAGTTGAATGTAACAAACTGCTAATAGCCATTTGTCTTCTTTTTTTTGTTTTCCATTTCAGATGTCAATGTAATACACAGGGTTGCTGTATTTTACCAGGAACACAAGAGGTATCTACAGTACTGTAGACAATTCAACATTTTTGCACACATTTATAAAAAATTGCATTTGTGACTTACATTTACAGAGTCCCTACACTATAAGTAACTAAGTGGACCAAGAGATGTTGTTACCTCTTTGACAAACCACTGACAAAAAGCTGGTGCAATCCATTCCCTTGCATGAATGCCACAGTCCATCCAGATCATTTTTTTAAGATTACTTGATGGCTGACTAATCTGCAAGGAAAAGCACAAGTTAGTGCATTCAACAATATCTTGGAAACTTGACCTTGCAATTTTCTATAAGAACTGTACCTACTTTTAAATAATGCATGGGTCTGGACTCATATGTTGCACCCAAATAATGTTGTGTAAGCAGATCACTGTGCGTTTCAGACATTAGATTGATCCAGTTGTAAATCTTAAAGAAATAAAAAGATACTCATTTAAAATGTGCAACTGTCAAATAGGCCTGACAATGCACATAACACATTTAGCTATATTGAATATGTGGAGAGAGGGGTACACTCAGAATGCAAATTTTACCTAAATTTAATAGATTTTCAGCTGCACATGCTTGGATTTTTAAAGGACACTAATAATGGCATTTATTTGTTGGACTGCAGATCATTTAATATGTATAATGATCTCTTGGACTTTCAATAATAGTCTCTGGACTTGTGTTCGAGTTATGGCACAGAACAACAGGTTTCTGTATTTACCCATACTCATGCTAACACCAATTGTTTCAAACTCTGTTAATATACTCTGTTGTAATGCACAGCATTGATGTGCTCTCTGAAACTGAACATAGATCAAATCTTTCTCAACTGAGGTCTCCTTTGAAAGGCTCCATATGCAAACTTGTTAATCCAGTCTGGCTTACTCAAATACCCATCACAGCTGAAAGAATTCTTTGTCCTCCACAACAGTAGCACAAACCTAAGTTGTACATACTGTATATTGGCTCAATAAATTCAAGAGAGCACATTTTTAACATAATCAATTCATTTAATTTGTTTACCTGCAAGGATTTGAATACACTTTCTGAAACCATGGGCTGTTTTGGGCCAAAACATAACTGAAGCGTGCCCAGATAGGAGAATGCAGAAGTATAGTGAATTGTCACTTATACAATGTCCATCACAAGCTGGCCACTCCCACTCACCTTTCATAGGTGACCTACAACATGCTTCAATGAGGAAGCTGACAGCCTCGGAGTGGAAAGCTGATAGATGTCCGTTTGGACAACTGCAAGAACTGGAAGGAGAGAGCCTGACGGTCTGATTGGTACAGCAGGGAAACTCGGTTATGGCAGGAGACCATTGCATAGGAGACAGCCCTGTGCTGTCCCAACACTAAACTACTCTGCCAAGTTCTTCCTATGTTAAGTGCCTGCATGCTGCAAATCTCAGGATCTGCAGAAAACCCCACTGTACCAATCTCAGGCTCTCTCTCTTTTCAGTCAGTGCTTGCAGCTCTGCCAGTTATCTCCCTAAGCTGTGATCATGCCACTTTGTGGTGAACAGCATTAGGGAGAGTTGGTTTATTTGGGTGGAAACACTATCATATATCTATTATGGATGATCCAATAAAGTAACTCAGAAGAGCACAGATTGGAGTGTGATTCTTATTCTTTATTGTCATCTTATAACCAAGGATTGGCTTCTTGAAACTGTACTCAGAGTCCGGAGATCAAATGAAAGAGTGGTGCACGGGGATGTGATCTTCTTTAGCCTATAAGTTGCACATTGGCACTCAGAATGGCAGATCAGTTAACTGACCCCTGTACCCGTCAGCTCCCTTGTTGCTTTTACCAGCTTCCCCTACACCAACTTTGTGACCAAAATATCAGCGGAGGACATTTTCTTCACTACTGCTTCTAATTACCGTGAGTGTGCACACTATTGCATGATCAGTTGTACCTATTATTCCTAGCTCCAGGTGTTTGTTTTCTGTATACTTACAGACCTTCCTAGCCCAGTGTTGTTCACGTAAGGCTTCTGGTTTATTCATATTTTTTTTTATTATACAACTAACTTTGGCTTGACCCTTCGCAACAGTCTCAGTTTCTCATGTGGCCTCTTGGAAGAATTAATTTCCCACCCCTGATGTAGAGTGTACAAACACTTTAAAAAGCCTTAACATTTAATATTAGACTTTTTGTCGGTAATGTTTTTAGATAAGTGAATATTTGATTAGTAGTGAAATGCAGCTGATTTCATCATATTCAATGTTCACTACTTTCTGAATGCCTATCCCATAGGTGATCCATGTAACTGCAAACTTCCAAATTTGCAATGGCTCCAAGGTATGGAACAAAATATTAAAGGAATACTGTACATGAAAAACACTTCAGAAGAAAACTAGTACATACTAAATCCTTCTCTTACTTCTTCCATTGGGTGATATTTCGTGTAGACATAGTCAGTTGTTGATCTCTTTTTTCTTAGTTTCGTTGTCTCTCTGCGCTGCCCATAACCCGAGTTAAATTATTAAGCAGAATGCTACAAAACAAGATGGGTGACACAATGACAGCATTTTTAGGTTGCTTAATGTCTAATAAATGTTTTTTTAAAAAATCTAATTGATTAAAGAGATTCATGTAATGCAAAATATTTAACTAACACCGAAAATATATATTTTCTAATATCCAATTATTACAGTTTGTTTTATGGGATTGTACTTATGGGTATTCCTCACTTGGCTGCCCCTCTCCCTGCTTTTCTGAAAGCAGCTACAAGTAGAATTTTAGTTGTCAGTGAGTATTGACATCACCATTCACCTTGGAGGGCAATTATATTTATAGTAGACATATACAGATTGTCTGCCCAGGAGCAGTAGATCCCGAACTGCTAAAAAAGTGGACTAAGACAGTAACAAACACAAACTAGTATCAGTTCTAGAAATACTTTAAACAAATAAAAATCTTGCTCTTGGGTATTGTACTGATACATAACTATACATATTCAGCAATATAATTTTTTTCTAAGAAGTGTTTAAAATCTACTGAAAGCCAAACATTGATTTAAATATAGCTTATGGCTCTAAAATCCTAAAATCTTCCTAAACACACAGTTCATAGAAATAATAGGTTTGAGGGTGTTATTTCCTATGCACATAATGACTCCTCAGTTGCCCATACAGCCATCTCTTGCTTTCTTGCTATACATACCTAAATATCTTCAGTCAACATTCATATACAAGGCAATTCCCACAGTGCCTGTTAGCTCTCAATTGCTTTATCACCTTCCCTAATATGAGAGGCAGCACCAGTTATTGTAATGCAGTTAAAGAACTGACAAGTAAATTGAAACAAATGAAATTAATGTTTATATCTGGTTAATAAAGTCCAGTGTGTGAAAGTCTTGGCTTTCTTTCATGTTAACCCTTTCATCAGAATATGAGTGGCTGATATATGCACTCCATGATATGAATGCTTATGCCCTGGGAGGGTAACAGTTAATTTTTATTTTTTCTTAATTTAAACATTAATTCAACTCATAAATACCACAGAGGCAAAGAGCATCAGAAATGTATTATTATTAAAATGAGCAGAGCTTGTTAAATGGATAAAGCTTCATCTAACTTAAGCTGTCCCTTGATATTTGTGCATAGTGAAATTTTGCTTTTTTTATTCTAACTTGTCTCTTGCCATTCAGTTTAAATGAGGATGACTCATTCTGATAAATCTTGTACATTTCATTTATCACATTTCAGATCAGGGATGAATCGTTTGATTTTATAGCCTTTTCCAGTGAATGTTTACAATTTTACAATGCAGCAATTTACCTGGCAGCTGCTGAGAGCTTAAATGTTTATTTGGTACCTCTACTCAAGTGTAAGATTAGTCTCAGAATAACTATTTCCATGGATATAGACTTAGACAAGTATGGAAAATTAAGTACAGTAATCCTGTGTAATAACTAATAATCACTTTTGCTGGTAATGTATTTTCCATCTATATATTTATACTGTGTATAATTCACATTTTGATCATATACTTTTCACCACAGTCATCATCAACCAAGACCTTTGAAATATTTTCAGGGTGGTGAGAGAAGTAAATTGGCTGGTTCAAGATTCTCTTTGCCTGGCCACTAACGCCAGTACTTCCTTTGAGATTTCAAGGTGATCCCAAGCTAGCTAGGATATATAAACCTGTCAACATGTTCTAAGTCTGTCCTTGGACCAAATACCAAATAGATGTGCCTAGTACTGCAGTGTTGGAGGACTCTCAGATGGCATCTGTGTAAGGCAACTAAATCACTAAGTACAATACAAAAGCCCTCTATAGGACTAATTAAGTAGCTGTATTTCCACAATAAACTAGTAAAAGCAGAGGATTAGAAAGGCTGGAAATTTTGCCTATTACTTATGGCACATACAGGGTTTTAAAAATCCATCTTGTGTGTTAAAAAAACTATATTGGAAAATGTATCAATGTTCTTAAATTAATTGATAGACCATAAAAAAGAAATGGCCAGCATTGTTTTCCTTTCCCATCCTTCAGCAGATCTTCCTCTTCATAAAAGAAACATAATGGCTTAATATGAAGATGCAACATTCCCTTTATATATAGAATGTGAGTTAGTCCACAAATCAATGATTCTTAATAATGAAACATTACATTATGCCTGGAATATGGAATAATAGAAGATTCCCCTAGTCTAGTTCCTACACTGTCCTTGTTACCTACTTTATTTATCCAATAGGAATTATTGCCATTACTTTGTACTAGTGAATTTTTAGGAAAGGTTTGAATACCGTTTGATATTTTTTTCAGCTTTATATATAAAAGGCTGCTTACATGTGCGTTAACCTTCAACATGTAACATCAATATGTATATGTAAACTCAATCAATAAAATCTCATGTAAGCTTTTGCATGTTACATCAGCAAAGTCAGAGATTAATAGTGTTCCTACCCAATGGACTACTGGAGATTGAAATAAATGATTTTGACAAAACGTTGTTGAAAACCATTAAAGGAGTAAATTATCTCCACCCACTATAAAAATGTTATGATAACATCACATTGTATCTCAAAACTATACACTATATTGCTTTAACTGGCTATTAAGTTACCCAAGGGATATCTAGCCAAGTAGGAGACAGACTTATCCAAAGAACTTCAGACATCTTAAAAAGGAAAGTTGGTCTCCCTGGCGCACATTTACTCCATCTACTCTGCTATAGCAGAAATCAATGTTAAACTCTTGTTTGGCCAGGTGGTACAGGATGCTTGCCTGTGTACATATATGAGACCAAAATATCTTCCCACTATGTTGGAAATCTTTGTCTTACCTCCATTCAACCCCTGGGCCATTTTGTTTCATTACACAACGTTTTATAATAAAATACTGAAATTACAATCACCCCCTGTGAACTGGTAAATAATTACTTACATTTAATAAGCAGTATGTTTGAAGATATCACAACTGACAGAAAAGACCACAAGGCTATCAATACCATATAGGCTGGCTAGCTATTCACCACAAAGCCAAGGGATTTCCATGTAAAGTGTGGCCCTGGATACACTTTGAAGCATAATTATGAAACAGCTGCCTGATTACTGTTGTTATTCACAAAGGGTGTGTAGTGGTGCTGAGGGAGAAGCTCCGTCCTTCCTTGTGCCTCACGGTGAACTAATAAGCTGTGTGTGCTGATTTACTGTGCATTGGCATATTGACTTGTAGCACACAACACTAACATTGACAACACTACTCCTACTTAGGTAGCTGCTCAGCAGCATTGTCACCTTACCACAAAAATTAAGGCTGGCCATACATTATACAATTTTCTTGCACAATTTTCCTTTATATTTAATAAAACCATATAATATGAGGTCAAACCTAAATACTCTCAGTTTGAATGCAATCAGGCAGGCCCTTGCACTACATAGTTGAAGGTGAATATAAAGGAAATTGTATAATAAAATTGTATAATGTATGGCCAGCTTAACAGAGACTGTAAGTGGCAGGATAAATAGGTTGAAAAATCAGGGGAAAACGTTAAACAGAACAGAGAAACTGAACAAATGAATGGTAATAAAATGTTTAATTCTTTTTAAAATTAGGGTTTTGATACACTCTAATTTGAATATATTATTTTGTGCATTCTTTATAGGACTTCATTTAGGACAAAAAATACATTTTTATTATTTGTGTCTTTTTTGTTAAGTAAAAATGATTATACAGTATACTACATATAAATAATTCATATTTACTATCTGCAGATACCAGGTGGTGTGATTAAAGCTATTCTCTGCTATTAAAGACTATTTTATTTATTTATTTCAGGTATTTATATAGCGCCGTCAATTTACGCAGCGCTTTACATATATGTTGTACAATCACATCAGTCACTAACCCTCAAGGGATTTACAATCTAAGGTCCCTAACTTACATTCATACATACACATACTATTCAAAACACACATCTTGACAAGTTTATGCTATACAGATATTTTAGAGTAATTCAAAGTGTTCAAGCAGTGCTGGGCTTTCCTATTAGAAAACCCAGTATGCTCTGCAAACAGTGTCATGGACTACCCTGCATTAATTGTTTTTGAAAAACAAAGATATTGTAAACATAATGAGAAAAATAATATAAAAGAAATTGTGTGAATAGAAGTGTCCTTATATTTAGAAAATAGAGAAATCTCTCTCTAACCAAATGCTGGTTTCCAAAAACAGCAGTAAAATCCCACAAGGTCTTTTATGATATGGCCCTGAAGCAGTATGGCAGCTACCAGCTGGACAATGGACAATATGTACCATTCTAGAGCACAAAAATAATTTTCTTTCAATATTCTTCAAACTATTGGAAATATTTTCAGCTACCTGTACAGTACATGGAACAAATTGCTATGAGAACGTTTAGACTGTTAGAAGTGAGAATGCAGCTGTGTGCAAGACATGTTTCTGTCTCCTTTCTGTTCTTAGTTCCTTATTTACCTATATATCATGGTGTTGATTGTCAGTAACATATTCCTGAGCAGACTATAATGTTGAGATTGCTGTCCCATCTGTGAGTGCTATCTAATTGGGTCCTCACAGTTTTGTTCTATATACTTAAAGCTCATCAGAGTCAAACTACTAGCAGAGGTGTCCTTTTATCATGCAGCGGTAAATGACCACTGCTCAGTTCTCCGGCATTCCCGGAGAAGACAGTTCTCCTCTGAATGCCTTTTTATGAAGCGGTGTAGACCAGTTCTCCGAATGAAGAGAGAAGCGGTCTACAAACGCTTTCAATGCTGGAAAATGGCTGCTTTTACTATAATCTCACGAGATTACAGTAAGAGATCAGTCAAGCACCATTTACTAAGCAACGGTAAATTATCGCTGCTTCGTTTGTGGTTCCTCCGATTCTCCAGCTCTGAGCTGGAGAATCTGGAGGGAAAACACAGATCGCCAGTGAAGGGCTGAGATCGCTCCTTCATACACTGGCCATCTGTGTGCTGAGATGATCAGCGGAGAACATGTTCTCCGCTGATCATCTGTTTCCTAAACCACTAATGATCGGAGATCAGCAATGATCCTCAGGATCGCCGCTGATCTCTGTTTCATAAAAAGGACACCAGAGTATGGTAATGGTTTCCCTGCTGTTTAACTCTTCAATTATGATTGAAGACAGACACAGAGTGGCTAAACTGCCTCTACACTCCCCACTTTTCCAGTTGACTTGTGTCATCATGACAATTTATTTTGTTAATATGATACCATGACAATTATTGCGGTAGAAAGGGGCAGGAGAGGACTGTAGTCCTGTGGAAGCCTCCAGACCCTAATCTGGGAATAACAAAATCTGGAAATAAAAACATCAGCTCTCTACTATGACATTCTGGAGCCCCTCACTCTGCATATGTGAGAACCCTGTGTTTTTTTTCACCTTATCTTACCCAGTGGCAGGACCTCACACTGCCACAGCGATTACAACATTGTTAATATTACAATATATATCAAAAGTATTGGAACACCCTTCAAAATCATTGGATTCAGGTGTTCCAATCACCTCCATGGCTACAGGTAAATCAAATCAAGCAACTAGGCATGCAGACTGCTTCTACAAACATTTGTGAAAGAATGAGTCACTATCAGGAGCCTAGAGAATTCAAGGGTACCGTGAAAGGCCACCACCTGTGCAATAAATCCATCCATGAAATTTCTTTGCTACTAAATATTCCACAGTAACTGTTAATAGTGCTGCTATACCAAAGTGTAACTGGTAACAACAGCAACTCAGCCACGAAGTGGTAGGCCACCAAAAATGGCAGAGCGTGGTCAGTGCATGCTGAAGTGCACAGTGTGAAGAATTCACCAACTGTCTGCAGAGTCAATAGCTGAAGACCTCCAAACTTTGTGTGGATTTCAGATTAGCACAACAACAGTGCATAGAGAGCTTTATGGAATGGGTTTCCATGGCCGAGCAGTTGCATCCAAGCCTTACATCACCAAGTTTAAAACACGCCGCCACTGGACTCTAGAGCAGTAGAGATGTGTTCTCTGGAGTAATGAATCACGCTTATCTGTCTGGCAATCTGATGGACATGTCTGGGTTTGGCAGTTGCCAGGAGAACAGTACTTGTCTGACTGCATTGTGCCAAGTGTAAAGTTTGGTGGAGGGGGGATTATGGTGTGGGACCGCTTTTCAGGGGTTGGGCTTGGCCCCTTGGTTATAGTGAAGGGAACTCTTAAGGAATCAGCATACCAAGACATTTTGGACAATTTCATACTCCCAACTTTGTGGGAACAGTTTGGGGATGGCTTCTTCCTGTTCCAACATGACTGCACACCAGTGCACAAAGCAAGGTCCATAAAGACATGGATGAGCAAATTTGGGGTGACTGGCCTGCACTGAGTAGTCCTGACCTCAACCCAATAGAACACCTTAATGAATTAGAGCAGAGACTGCAAGCCAGGCCTTCTCGTCTGATATCAGTGCCTGACCTCAGAAATGTGCTTCTGGATGAATGGTCAAACATTCCCATACACACACTCCTAAACCTTCTGGATAGCCTTCCCAGAAGAGTTGAAGCTGTTATAGCTGCAAAGGGTGGGCCAACTCAATATTGAACCCTATGGACTAAGACTGGGATGCCATTAAAGTTCATGTGTGGTAAAAACAGGTGTCCCAATACTTTTGGTAATATAGTGTACTTTCCCTATGCTTGAGGACTTTATTCCCATTGTATGCTCCCAGGGCTAAAAAAACAAGGTATACCTTAGCAGATAGATAGTAGCAGCTACACAATTACCTACAGATGGTGCTGGTCTTGTAGTTTTCAGTGCTTGGCTCTCAGCACCAGGAACAAGCTGCCCTACTGGTAATAAAAAAAAAAAAAAATACCCACACCTGTTCCCCACCAACATTTAAACCTTAACCTTAACCATGTAAATTAAATAGTATGTATAGCCAAACATTTTTTTTTTCTAATAGAGTGGCAATTTTTTTTTTTTCTGCCTGTGTACCATTGATGACATTTTGCTTTACTTTCTGTCCCACAGATGAAACAGGAAATTAGAATAAGATTCCCTCTTTAGACAGTTGAAGATTTCCCTTACTTTTTGTTCTTGCGACAACTCTAAAATGATTTATTCCCCTTCACTCTCTCTTTTGGTAACAATGGTCACCAGTACAAATAGAGAGTTAAATCTCCCCAAAGGGGACACAGACACTAAAATACCCTTCTCCACTCAAAAACTAAAAAAAAAATGTTTCACATAGAGAAACATTGGAACCTAATCCCTAAAGTGAGACATTACCCTGCCATTTAACCCTTAAATGTACCTATGATCAAAATGTAAAATCATATTTATTAATGTCATTATATTACATGATATTTCACTTATTTCTAGCCTACTCATCTTATTTCTTGCATGAAATCACTGCTGTCAGCTCTAGTTGTCGGCAGTGATCATTGTGTTTTGCCAGCAGGTAAGGTTCCCCGCTGGCAGAACACAATAGTGCTGCTGGAGGGATTACCCCATCAACACTGACAGTGTTGAATTGAGCAAATTTCTTTTTTTTTTCCCACATGTGGGATAATCTATGGCCTGCTTAAATTAGAGATCAAAGGGAATACAGTGGCTTGGGACTGATTTTCAATGTTTGCACAAAAACTGAACTAGATTATGTTCTCTGTATGCATCTCAAGGTTTATGTTTCAGCTTTGTCCTGAGTGTACTTTTATAAAACACTGTGGAATGTGCAGTAATAAATTGCAAACCAAAAAAAATCACCTTTGCTCTCTGTCTTGTTAAATCTGATAAACAGTCAGTTGCTATGGATAATTGCACATTATTGCACTAATTACATATATCTCTTATGCATGCTATCTTGAGAGCAAGAAAGCATATCAGAACATTACCAAAGTTGTCTGGTTTATATGACAAATTTATAACAGAATTCAATTCTCTCAATCAATATCAAAGCGGAGTTCCAGACTTATTTGTGTTTATTAAAAGTCAGCAGCTACAAAAACTGTAGCTGCTGACTTTTAATAAACACACACTTACCTGTCCCAGGGTCCAGTGAAGTGCTCACCAGCACTGTCCCTTCTCTATTTCTTCTCTTTCCGGCACCGGCATCTGAATTGTGGGCACCAGGAAGTGACAACTTGCAGCTTCACAGCCAAGCACACACTGTGCATGTGCGAGTCATGCTGCGCATCCTGATTGGTCCGGCAGTCTCCTGGGACCTGTGATGTTTCCTAGGAGACTGCTGGAGGAAGGAGGGGGGCCGAACGTCCGTCCCATTTCATTGCGCAAACTGAGCTGGAAGTGTGAAAAACAGGTATATTATATTTTCTTATTTTAACTTTTTTTTTTATAATAGGAAGTCTCAGGTGTTGGAGGGGGTGTGGCTTAGGACATTTTTATAGCAAATGTCAATATTATAGAGAATGTCAGCTTTTTATATTGCTGGATCTACTTAAAATTTTTGCTAAAAGTAACCTCTAGTTATGCATTCTTTCATCATATGCGTTGGCATGCATATCTGTAACAAATGTATTTTTAAGGTAACATAGTTACCTATGGTGATTGGCAGGTAACAAATTTAGTTCTCCTAAAAAACAATATGGCTTCCAATTCATATCGAGATTTACAGGGAACATAAAAGGTAGCTCTTGCATATATCCTAGTGTTGTTTTCCTGGGCAATAGGAAATAAGTAATACCGTCTTCAAATCTATTGATCAAGATAATAACTATAGGTAAAATCTGTACTGTAAATACAATTTTACCTAGCTGATTTCTTTGAAACATCATAGGTATATAGATATTCTCTCTCCTTTCAACCCTCTGCATGAATAATATTTAATGTCATCTTAACCAGACTCCAGAAGATTAAAGCAGCTGAACCTGCATCAGTTTACTTACTCAAAAGATAGCGAACAATGTAGCAGCTCCTCTTTCACAGACTGAAGAGCAATGGATGGGATCCTGACGAGCACTACTTTACTAGGGGTGACATCCTCTAGATAAAGAGGTTTCCAAAGATCCAACTGTAATGGTAAACATAATAATAATTATATTACGTATTACAACAAAGCATAATACTTATATTCTTGAAACTCGAGGTACACATACTGGTGTCTATTGTGTTCAGTTTTGTTCAACATTCATCATAACCACCTGGGGTAATCTCTTAACTGTAATAAGAAAAGCTGCAGTGTTTGCACCCCTTTAGATGATGATTAGCCTTAGAATGTGACTCATCAAAAGTGAAACTTCTATTGTAAGGGGCCAAAAAATTTAAACGCAAAGAGCCAATCACAAAAGAGGGAATTAAGTTGTCATATTGCAAGAAAGCAGTTTGCTTTTTTGGTATTTTTAGAAAATCCCAGCATTCTTCATATTGAAAAGAACAGGTCATTTTTAACCACTTGCCGTCCGCCTGCTGTTTATAAACGGCAGGGCGGTGGCAGTCCAGGGACGGGTTGCCGTTCATAAACGGCACCCGCCTTTTCTAGCTGTGCGCGCTCCCTGGGAGCGCGCAGCACCGCGATCCGGTGCCCGTTGTGTCCTCTGGACACAGTGAAACACCGATCGCCGGACGGGACCTCTGTACGAGGTCCCGATCATGTGATCACTGATTGGCCAATCAGTGATCACATGCAAAGTAGTAAGCAAGATGTCACTTGTGACATCATTGCTTACTACATGTGAAATCTGTGAATGATCACAGAGGTCACATGGTACAAGGCTATTCACAACAGCCTTGTACCATGTGACAAGCTGTGACCAATCACAGCTCACTCAGTACTTCTCAATGACTGCAAGAATGCAGACAGAGAGAAAGAGAAATGATTGCTTTTACATCCTATATGGGTGTAAAAGCAATCAGTGTAAAAAAAAAATCACCCCCCACAAGTAGTACAGTGTCACCATGGTGACACTGTACTGCTAGGGTGACAGTATGTAAAAAAAAAAAATAATAATAATAATATAAAAAAATAAAATAAAAATGTAAAAAAAAAAAGTTTAAAAATTATAATTTTTGGTTATAAACTAATTTGGATTTTTTTTTTTTACTAAAAAAATAACAGAATAAATTTTGGCCAAGATTTATGATGAAATATTATTTATTTGCAAAATTTTATTAAAAAAACACTTTTTTTTCAAAAATTTTGGACTTTTTCCTTTACATAGTAAAAAAAGTTAAAATCCCAGCGGTGAATAAATACCACCAAAATAAAGCTTTATCTGTCTCAAAAAAATGGTAAAAAATTCATATGGGTACAGTATGACCGCGCAATTGTCATTCAAAGTGTGATAGTGCTGAAAGCTGAAAATTGCCCTGGTCAGGAAGGGGGTAAAAGTGTTCGGACACGAAGTGGTTAAACATATTAAATTCCAAAGTATGCTGTTTGGCAATCATATGTATAATTTTTTTCTACAAATGCAGTGTTTTCCTTTAATTGCTTGAAAAGTCTTTTTACAGTGATTTTTAGTGGCTTAATTTCAGGGCATATCATTGTTCATTTTTTACACCTATCTATTAATAGCAAAAACTGCTTGCATAAGAGTTGAAGGTGATCATAAAACTGATATAAAAGTTCTGTGAAATTAACGTTCTAAACTAGGATCCACATTTAGCGGATATATGCTAAATTAGGTATTGACACTGTAATTAAAGGAACAGTGCTGCTTGCTAGTTTATAACTTTCCTTCCTCACATTACCAGCATCACCTCCTTGGGTACTAATGATATGGAAGAGTTCTGTGACTGTCAGCTCTCTGCTGGTGCTTGAAGATAGGCCCTTTGGTGTCACATGGTGGATTTTGCCACATTTTGCTGGCTGGAAGCTGAAAAGTGGGAAATTTGAGTGGAGAGTGAAAAACAGTTTTGCTTTCGACTGCTGGTGATTGCTTGTGGTTGCAGTTGTTTTATTTTCTTCTTTGGGGTCTTTGCTAGCAGCCTTTTAAAACACCTCTTATTTTTTTATTCCCAAACAGTTTGTATTAGGAATAGTTTTTGGTATACAGAGGTGGAAGACATAACAGGGATAACAAGGAGAAAAAGGGGGGTAGTGTATACAGAGTAACCATACATATCAATATTCTGTAAGTCAGAGCAATCTAGGTAACAACGTATTGCCTGCCTTCAAACCTATCGTCTATTTTCCATTTTATGGTAAATACTAATGTTGTAACAATTGTTAGTAATTGTGAATGATTGTTTACAGGTGCTCCAGGTACTATATAACTTTCTGTGGAACCCACTCTGAATCTTGCTCATCCTTGAGCTTGCACACATTTTGTTTGTTGAAAATCTGACTAAGAGAAGTTAAAAACCGGAGTTTATAACAGGAGTCTTCTAGCCTGTAAGTAACATCTGAAATTTCCTGTTAGTAATATAAATATTGTAACTGGGATAATGAGTGCTAGGAAGGTTGAACGTTTTGTGCAGTGCACAGTGTGCCACATGTATACAACAATGGAGCAGAGGCTCCAGGATGGATACCACTGCAACAAATGTTAGCAGGTTGCCCTTCTGGAATCTCACACTAGAGATCTGGAGGTTGCAACACTGGGCAGAACTGACAACCTTGAAAGGGGTATTCTGTTCACTGAGCAGGTGGTAATAGGGTTGATGTGAAGAGTGGAGGGGTAAGTTAGGATTATCAGGTAAGAAGATGGGTTACTGTTAGTCAGAGGGAGTGGTAGGGGCTCGCTGAAAAGGAAGACCAGCCCTGGGTTTGAGCACCCAAACAGATTTGTCAAGTTGGGTGAAGATGTGGGGCTGGCAAGCTCATAGGAGGCAGCCCTAGATGTCACTGCTATCCCTAACAGCCAGAAGAGCTGCCCATCTAGTAGGGGTGGTGAGATAGTGCAGGAAGGCCTAAGCAATTGGTGGTAGTAGGGGTTTCTATAATCAGAAGGACTGATAGAATAATTTGTTGCCAGGATTGCTTCAACCAAATGGTTTGCAGTCTCCCTGGTGCCAGGGTTAGGCATGTTGTGGACCGAGTTGATAAATTACTTGGAGGGGCTGGGCATGGCCCAGATATCTTAGTTCATGTTGGAACCAACAGAATATATGGAAGGTGGAGGCTCCTTAAGAATCAATTTAAAGAACTAGGTTGCAAGATGAGGGGAAAGACCTTCAACCTGATATTCTCTGAAATATTGCCTATGCCATGCCTAACACATGAAAGACAGGGAGAGATTAGAGAACTGAATGCATGGCTGAAGACCTGATGTAAGATGAAAGGATTTGGGCTTCAAGAGCACTGGGCAGACTTTTCACTGGGGTATAACCTCTATGCTAAAGATAGTTTTCACCTAAATGTAAGGGGGTCTGCTGTGTTGGGGGAGAGGTTTATAGGAAGGCTGAAGGAGTATTTAAACTAGGATTGATGGGGGAGGGTGAATTAGATTATTATGGGGCAGACAGGTCAGACAGGGGTCAGTCTCTATTAGTGGGTGGAATGGTGAAAGAATAGAGAGGATTATGGCAGGTAATAAGAAAGTTCCCATGTTACAAACAACCACTGGAAATGTTACGATTTGTATTAAAATAAAACACATGGAACATACATGTACAAAATGTGACAAAAATTAAAGTGTATGTTCACCAATGCCAGAAATCTGCCAAGCACAATAAGTGAGTTGGAAGCTTTGGTGCATGAAAAGAACTATGATTTAATTGGTATTGCTATCTTGGCTTCATTCGTCACATGACTGGGCTATTAATATGTTCTCTTTCGGAAAGACAATAAACGGAAAGTTGGTGGTGTCTGTCTCTATGTGGGAAGTAATCTCTAAGCAAGTGTGAAAGAGGACCTAGTTGAAGGAGAGTGTGATGAGGCTGAAGCATTATGGGTGGAACTGCACATGGGTGTGTGTGCTACAAAAGTAATCATTGCAGTTTGTTATGGGCCACCTAATGTTAATGAAGAGGTGGATACTCAGCTCCTTGCACAGATAGAAAGGGCTGCAAGGGCTGAGACAGTGATAATAATGGGGGATTTTAACTACCCGGAAATTGACTGGAATAATGGCATTGATGAAACAGTTAAAGGGAAAAAATGTATAAACCTATTACAATTTTATGGTACAGTTCATAGAGACCCAGACTAGGAATGATGCTCTGCTGGACCCTGGTAATCTCAAACCATGCTGAGCCTATTACTAATGTTCATATAAATAAAATAACATCTGGGTAGCAGTGACCGTAACATGATTTCATTTAATGTTAGCTGTAAACAACAAGCACATACTGGAAAGATAAAAACACTCAACTTTAAGAGAGAAAATTTTCCAGGGATGAGGGTTGCTCTCCAAGACTGGGAAGGAATATTGGCATTGATGAACACAGAACAGAAATGGGAATTCATCAAAAAGACTGTATGTGAATACACTGCAAAATATATTTATGTGGCCAATAAGTTTAAAAGGCTAAAAATAAAACCTATGTGGCTTAGGACCATAGTTAAAAGAGCTATAGATAATTAAAAAATATAAATGAAGAAAAACTATCATCATTTAACTGTTAAAAGAATATAACAGAATATGTAAAAAGGAAATCAAGGCTGCAAAAATTGAAAATGAATTACAGATGCAAAAGAAATAGGACACACACCCCAAAAATTCTTCAGATAAATTAATAGTAAAAGGTCAATTGTGAGCATGTAGGGCCCTTTACAAAATAATCTACAGTGGAACGACTGGGGAACAAAAAGAAGGCAAATTTATTAAATACCTTCTGCAGATCTGTGCATACAAAGGACCATGGGGAAGCTCATGTCCATAATGGAGTGGTATTGACACAGCCCTAAATGATCCACAGTGGCTCAAAATTGACATGGTCCAGAAATATTTAGACAGATTAAAGGTAAATAAAGTTCTTGAACGAGATGTCATACACCAAAGTGTTCTGAAAGAATTAAGTTCTGTCATGTCATAGCATTGTTTAAGATTTTTAGGGACTGTATAATGACTGGCATAGTACCACTGGATTGGCATAAGGCCAATGTGGTGCCTATATTATAAAGGGAAT